GTGTTTCCCTACGATACAGTTGAATTACACCACCCAACTAAAGGAGATTTCAAGATTAATGGACAACACATCAAACACTATGTAGAGGATTTTCCCACTGCCAAAGAAAGCATTGAAGTAGTTGTTTCAGAATAATCGCAGCACTATGTTAGTTGGTTTATTAGATGTTCGAGTTAAGTAACACTTGTTCCAGTTATTTGATCTTGATGCTTTATTTGATTTTTCAGGAACATGAAGTCGCGAAACATTTAAACCAATATTGACCAAGGAGACAACGAAAGCAATAGGAAAGCTAGCCATTTGATTACAAGTCATATCAAGGGAGTATTCTCTTCACATTTTTCCCCACCCCACTCCTTTATATGCAGATTTATGATTAAAGATATTGAGGACAATAACTAGTTTAAATTTGGGGTGGAAAATATGAGTTCATTTTTTTATGTGTTTTTGTGTACTTTTATTACTTTAGTAAAAAAAAAATCTTTTTGTGTGCTTGTGTGAATTAGTTGGTCTGGCTGACAATGACGAATATATTGAATTATTAATTAATCTATGAATTGTGAATAAGTTGCATGTTTAGATTAACTTTTGCTTTTCCATGTGAAATTTGATATATATCGAACACGTGAATTAAATTAAGCATTGTGTAGGAATGAGTTGATTTCATAATTGAATAGGTTGAAATAGTGAACCATAGAAGTTAAACCCAAAACCACTAAATTTTACATTTTTGGACCAAATTTAGAATAGTTTTAGGGGGGAGGGGGATTTCACTGTTGTAGGAAGATGTTGAGATAAATAAAGATTTCATGTGTGAAATTAAAAACTTGTGTGGATTGTCTAAGGTCAATCTGATGCAATTGGGCGAAAATTTCAAGTTGGAGGTCGTTTTACTTGAATTTGTGTTAAATGAGGGATATTGCATGCACTAATCAATGCATAAGAAAAAAAAATTATTAGAAAATTTCTCTTCGTAATCTTTATGACTTGAGCAATTAAGTCTGCAATGGTCTTTAAAACTTGGTGCCCTATGGTCATCTAACTTGAGAGTTATCGGCCGAAAGCTTATTATATGGGTCATTTAGAAAACTTAATGGAGAGAATGCTTCAAATAAAAGAAAAAATCACTCATATGAAAAAAAATTAGAAAAAATAGATGCATGAAACAGAAAACACACCAAACGCCTTGGTTAAATATCAAATACTTGTTTAAGAAAAATCGACTTTTGATAAAAGCTTGTTAGCCTATTTAAGTCCTAGAGATTGAAGCAATCAAATTTAATGGAGAATCCTTGTTTATTGAAATGTTGAACTGTAATTGGTGAAATTTCGTCAAAGTAGAGAAGTGATGATAGTTAAAAAAAAAAATCCAACATTAGTTAACACACTGGAAAAGAGTGAAAAAATAAGTTTGGGGGTATATGAATTTTACAAGTGATGAAAGAACATATTTGACTATTGAAGGTCAGGAATTGAAATAACTTATGAATTCATTATATTGGAAAATTGGATTTTAATTTTTGTATTGTGATTTTGAAGTTGTGCATAGATTTGTTATTATGAGTTCAATCCCGAGATTAAAAATCAGGTTAACTAGCTAAATATTGTTGCTTTACTTGTTTGACTAGCCACCAATTAGGTAATTAACATTGCTTGTTTGTGTGTTTGTTAGATTTTAATTTTGCTTGAGGACAAACAAAAATTCAAGTTTTGGGGTGTGATAAGTGTAGCCCTAAATTACGATATTTTATTGTCTTTTGGATTAAATTCTACATAATTTATATTATATTGTGTTTTCTAGGTAAAAAATTATGTTTGATGAAGAATTTGAGAAAAGAATGCAAAAATGGCGAATAATGGCAAAAATTCAAAGATGAAACTTTGGAGAAAAATATTAATTGGATGTCCAAATTATATATATATAATTTGAGAAAAGAATGCAAAAAACTTGTATTGAAAATTTTAATTGGATGTCCAAATTATATATAT